TTCTTCTCTGAAGAAAAATATGTATATAGTTCACAAATGAGATGAAGCATTCGCTCAAAAATATAGACATCAACATAATTTTCAAATACCTGTAGATAATAATTATGAGTTAGAGAATAGTTTTATAGATACAACACAAAGTACCTATGGAAAAGCATCTTTTATTTTCACACGCTGAAGACGATCACAAGATAATCACTGCTGTTTATCTTGTAAATACCAAGTCGTAGCTGTTTTATGTAAAAACAGCTTTTTCTCGTGAAAATTAATAGGAAAATATTTGTCACCATCATCCTTCAAGATTGATTTCTTCAATTTGATTCCTGAAATGAAATAAAAACGAGAATGAGAATAATAAAACATCGACAATTTCTGTCAATTTGGTTAATATTATTCAACACCTCTCATTATTGTTTGTTGGAGTTAAGCTTTTGCGGAGATCTCTTTGTCTAAAAACATTTCTTTGTCCTTTTATGACTCAAACCACTCTTAGTGTCAAATACAAACAGTCTGAGTATCCAACACTATTTCTTTTCTATAATTTCTAACAAATTCATGAAAGACTAATCCATTTTTCATAGAAAAAACTTGATCCTTGATTATCATTTGTTACATGGTTAATTAAAATAGAACAGTTAGAACAAATAAATCATAGTATTAACTATAGCATCATTATCTATATGATCAATATGATTATCAAAATAAACAATATTTTCTTTCACTCAAATAAATCATATTCTCAAGATTAGTTATATGTTTTTTTTGAAGATAGTCGACAGAAAATGACTAATAATTGAACAATATTATATGAAAAGTGAAAAAAATGAAATGAAATGAACCAAAGCACAGTTGAAAACTGAAAAGAAGATGGAAAACATGCCATGTTTTTATTTATATCATTATTAACATGAATCTATACTCCTACTTGATGTTAGTATTGAACAACCATTAAAGTTTCAAATATAAAATTTGAACTAATGGTTGATTTCAAATAAATGTGTTTTTTTTGCAGATTACATAGACAAAAATTAATTTATATGCAGTTTATCCAACATGATCATTTTAAAGCAAATACAAATATATTACTCTAAATAATGCTTATCTTATACGTTTTTTCTTACGAAGAAAACTCTTTAAAATCCAAGTGTCTGATATATACCTGAGTAAGATGTAAGTTGTAAATTTTCAAAGGTAGATGTTGAATTACCATCGTCTTCCAATAAATCATTATCATATACGACATCATCTAATTTTTTATCTTCATCGGTTTCGTCCTCGCTGGATTCATCAACAATGAGCCTTTCTAATTCAGATAAGCTATTTGATTTAAACAACTGCTTGATTAACTGTGATGATTCTGCTAGGTTAAAAAGATTATTCTTAATTAAGTTACGACCCATTCCTACAGAAAATGTCATTTCTTGCGCCACTTGATATGATTGAAGAGTAATTTTTTCAAGAGTATCTGTATCAAAACTAACATTATTATTATTATTATTCTTTGAACCTGGCTGAAAAATAAGTGATTTAACTATGTGGTGAATGGGAAAAATTATTTTCTCCTCTTTATTTGAGACTTCAAATTGTTTTAATTCCGTAAGAACATTGAGTTTATTGACACGTTTGAGGGATTGCTTCGTGGTAAAATTTATACATGTGGAATAAACTCCAAATAAAGATCTTGCATTTATGAAAGTATTTTACATTATAATCATAGGGTGCTCCTCTTTTGGATAGTAACGTGATCTTCATTCATTACAATGTTATTATGTTAGAATTAATATTAATGGTGTTAAAAATTATTTTTAAATTTTTACCAATAGACTTCCAAGAGCCAAAACATTTGACAACACGAAAATTTTAACTTTCTTGTTGTATCATACTATAATATTAGATATGAATAAATATTGCTGTTCGCAGTTTCATTGTAACTGCCAACAGCATGCTTTTATTTTCTGTGAAAAAAAATTAATTATGAACATGTCTTTTGTCTTGATGATACACAACACAAATTATACATGTATAGTCACTTTAATACAATCTTTTAGTCAACTAGTTTTTTTCTATATGCGTTCTTTTCAACTATTTAAACTAAATTGATTGATCACTAATATACGATAAACTGAATTATTTTGTACATCAACCTAATACAGCAAAACTATTTCCCGATGAGTACTATACTTAACCCACTTTATGGAGGCACAAACATGTACATGAACGTTTATTGTTTGAAACAAAATAAAAGAATTTTTTAAGATGTTTGTAGGATAGATCAAGTGTCAACATTATTAGCGGTGCTACGATAGAGACAATAGGACCATCCAGCTTATAATGATATTTTCTTGTCATAAATCTAATTAAATGCATGATACACAACATTGCATCTCCCNATGTATGAATGATCGATTTATGGTACAAAATATATGTTAGTATTTTCAACAAAAGTCCATCTAGACTCTTCTGAAACAACTTTATTTTGATACGAAACGATTCCTCGTGAAATTCTACATCTAGTAGATCATGAACCAACCAAAATTAACGAGGGCCCAAAACTGACCCTTATACGCCCCCATCCTTTATCTCAAGAGCTTTTATAAAAATAGTGAGAACCCTAAGATAGTGATTTGAATTACCCCAGTTAAGTTAATTCGAATCCTTCCACTAGTTTTAGCTGGAGAGAACTTTGAAAATCTCTAGCATTTTCCCAGTAGGCTTTTAAGTGTAGTTGCTGAGACAAGAAAATTTTCGTCTCATGTTGCTCTATCTTCTCTTGTGAAACCAGGCAAACATGAACTAATTCGACAGATTATCAAGAGAAATAATGTAACATAAATTTTAAAAAAAGCTTTTTCAACTCATCCTTCCTATCTTTGAATGAATATTTCATTTTTGTGAAAAGTCTCACGAAAAAATAAAAACTATCAGATCTATTCTTAAGAAGATCAGTAAATATTAATCAAAGTACACTTCGAGTTTAATATCATTAGATTCCAGTTTCAAATCGAATTGGCGTTTCATTTTGAAATTTTCTTTCAAGCTAGATGAAAAAGAAACTGTACTCTCTTGTTAAGAAAGAATCTGAAATCATCTATCAACTCTCTAAAAATAGAAAAACCTGTTGTGTAAATGAGAATCACATATCAATCGTATAATCATTAATTTACGTAATTCTATGGTATAAATCCATCTTGCGTTAGAACGTAGACTAACGGTATATACATTTTTTAACGAATTGGACTTTGACTCTCTTATTGAAAAATATAATAATTCTGACTTATATATTCATTATGTTATACGTATTTCTTATATCATGTCTACAGAAATCGGTACTTGATCTTATATTGAATGCTGAGAGTTCGTCCATAAAGAATTTCGAAGCTAAGATGAGAAGAAAACGAGCAAACATTTTCGACGTTCAAACACTAATTATCAATATAATTCTTTATTTACAAAATTTTTCCTGAAATTTTTCTAGTTTTTGTTCATGATAATCGAATCTGTATAAAAAAGACTCTGAAATTGGTTATATTTTTGTCTTTAATATACTTATAGTGCATCTCTAATAGCAAATGAATATATTTTTTGAGGGTAGATGTGCGTGTGGGTGTAACAGAGAGAAGTATAGACTAACACCCACACCTACATCCTAGTTTAACTTCAGCACTTATCGAAGCCGGTCTTGTTAGCTATAATATTGATTATATATACACATTATCAATATAATCACACCCCACATCCACAATCACACTCACACCGACACCCTCATCTCTAAATTACATAAAAGAAACTTACTCTCCAATATACCTTGAGCAGAACGCTTTTATATAAGGTTAGGATTAACAAACTCTCAAAAAATAACATTTCGTGATAATCATTTCCGTATCACAAGTGAACATCTATTGATGACTGATCAACCAAAAGCAATAAACACTTCATTGTCCGTTTCTTTGTCATTCATTTGTCGATAAGTTTTCCTGTACATTAGTATGGGTCTGGCATATGTAACCTGTTGGAAAGTAACCAACATCTAAAACAGTAAAATGCTGCAAGTTGCTGTTACACTCCCAAGTATGAGGAATTTCCGATATATTGTCTTTGTTAAATACCAGTATATCCCCTACATTTAAGTTGTAATCTTTTGGATCGTAATACAGATCTTTCAATATTCCATATACAGTGTTATCAATAATTTGTATAATATCAAAATACCATGCACCACCACCACAGTCAGTTTGATTACCATTGATTGGTATCTTTTCAAAACAACATCTCACCATATTACCCACTTGTAATGAAGAAAGAATAGCATCACCATCTTCAAATAAGGCTCCTGACCATGACATTGGTTTTGAAATTTTCGTAAATTTGTATGTGTAGTTTTGAAAATCATTCATATTATTCATATCTAATGGTAAATAATGGATATTTTCTAAATTAATGTGAATTATATCACCAAATTTCACATATCTACTATCTGTATTATGATTAGTATAACCATACGATGAGTAACATTTCGAAATACAATCATCAAATTGATCAAATTGTGGATAATATGGATTTGTCTCATATTTCATACATTCTCGTGCACTCAGTATACCAATAATTGTTTGATAAATATTATTCAATGGAATATAATGATTGATATATTTATTGTATAAATCTTGACCTAGAACATTTCGATTTAATAAATTCTTCAATACCTTTAAATCATGTTCTGTCGGATTTTTATTAATTCGATTTAATAGTAATTGATCAATCCAATTTATGTCATCATCTTCATACTTATTGTCTTCATCAGAATACTTTGTTTGTGTAAAATAAGATATTAAATCGCAATCCATTGTTATATTGTCATTAATTACTTTTGTTATGTATTTCGAATGTACAATATATGGTGTACTTTTTGTATCATGAAGAAAAAATAGAACATTCGAATCAGTATTCAATATAGGATTATTAATAACTGTAACTGTTGCTTTGCAACCACGATAAACATTAGTGATTTTCACAAATATTTCTTCTTTTCTTCTTGCAAAGACATGTTGTGTATGTTTGCTAATAATATTTTTATCGGCTACTTGAATTTGTTCTTTGTTTTTGTCTGATAATGTGATTGTAACAATTTTTTCAATAAGATCTTTTTTATTGGGAAATAGAGATAATGATAAACATTGACCGTCTAAATTAATTGGATGTTGATATCGATCGAGCTGATACATTCAAAGGTGAAAGTTTACAAATATTTTACAAACTCTAAATATTTGTGAACAATATTAAATATGCGTCAGCCATCGAAAATTGAATGCGTCCTATTCTATGATAACTATTTTCTGTTCTATCTATTGCCAAACGACAATACTCAAATTTGGTCAATTTTTGAAAATATTTGAAGAAGCTCGCAACACACTCCAGATAGAATTAAAATGCGAAACATAATTGAGTCGATATTTTGGTGGTAGCAATGTCTTCTTATGAGTGTTCTTCTTCTAGGTCAAATTCTAAGGATTCACTTTACCTTCTATTTTCTTCAAAACTCGTCATCAATCATACTCTAAAGAAGTATACATTTCTTATACTTTGTTAAATGGACTGTTTCCTGTACAACTGTAAAATATTTCTGAAATGAAGTATAAATAAAGGGACTATGATTGCACTTTATTGGAAGTTTAATTATCTATATTGAACTTATCTCTTTCCACGAAGAAACTCTAGATAATCGTCTACAATTTTTTTACTAGTTAAAATCAATTTTATCCATACTCAAGTAGTACTGAAAATTTAAAATACATCGTTCTTGATGAATTCTATAAAATTTTATACGATTTTAGTATCTTTGGTACTCGAACGTTTGATATTATAACCTTTGGATAAGTATGCACTTGTTCTGCGTTGCTCTAAGACTTCTGTACTATTAAGAAGTGTTTTGTAAATATCTTTCGATATAGATATAAATCATACGATTTATGTAAGCACTTTTCCTAAGATATTAACGATCAAAAAATCTCTTCTGTATACATACGGCTGTTAGTGCAAGAATTGAGCGTTTGCGAATAAATGATAATTCGAAAAAAACCGATTTCGTAATAGAAATTCAATGAATACAACTAAAATATTACATCGCTTTATATTTTATGTTGTTTTTTTTCTTTTCTAATACTTTCGTCATGTTGTCATGGTATCACACAACTCATGAGTAATAACGTAGATGAGAAAACGATCTTATTCAAAGAATAAGTGAGTCAGTATAATGTGTGGCAAATATATGAAGTAATCTACGAACTATTGGTCAATCGTTTTTATACTCACTTTTTTTTTCATCTCTTATAACAAACCGTTAGGAAACAGATAAAGAAAGGCAACATTAAACGCAACAATTTCAAAAAATTCATTCAATGCATTTCATTCACTTTATTACGATGACATGACCAATGACAATATGGCAACACTAAACTGTATGCCTCTTATTCAAGGAACTCAGTGAAGTAAATCAGCGTTCTTTTTACAGTTGCACATGTCAATAGTATCGAGTAATTGTGCTTGTAGCGTAGACATAACTTTTTCTCTATCAGGAATATTTTTTTGTATCTATTTCATTTCTTTCTTTTTATTCTTCTCAATGAATGTGCATTAGATTTCGTGCATAAATGAAAATGAGTGAAATCGGTTGCGCTTATTTTTACTGATTTCCTAAATGTCTTTCTCCACACTTCACATTCACATTCACAACCACACCCACAACCTGAAACAATGAACTTGACGTGCTAAGCATTATTTATACAATAGAAGTCAATGTATAACAAATTTTCACATATCAAGCACTAAGAATACGCATTTATTGACCCAACCCAATCCCAAAAATATATACTTCATTTCCATGTGCTATTTATGTTAAAATTTGTTTTTTTTATGCTTATTTGTCGAAGTGCTGATTTACCTTTCCTTGAAATTTTTGTCATTGTTTTTTTTTTATTTGAATTTCCTGGAAATCAGAACTCACGTCGTCATGAAAAAAACTGGATTAGTTTTTCTCACTAGGACTGGAATGAGTCACTAGTTCTTTTGAAAAAATGAGCATTCGTCACCAATTCTTTTAAAAAATCGGGGTATTTGAGAAGAGCAGGATCTAGTCATCAGTTCTTATAAAAAAACTGCTTTGCATTCCCAGCTCTTGGAAAAGAGCCAGTTCTCAAAACTGTAAGGTCTCATATGTCTCATAGCATTCTATCTTCACTTACAGTTGAATTTATATCGAAAATAATTTACTCGCAGCTTACATTTGAAACAAATTGAAATAAAGTTTAAATAATTTGTACGAAACACTTGATATTAACTGTCATGATTTATGGTCATTTCAAATATATATTGTCATAGCTTATGTTTAAAATAGAGCTAAATAATAATAAGTTATATTTATTTTAAGTAAACATTTCAGAAACAAAAGAGCAAACTTACATCAATATGAAATTTTAAATATTGAGAATTTCACTTATGCATAACTGCAAATGGAAGTAATGATAAGTTGGCAGCCCGAACATCATGAAAAGAGCTTTATATTCAGAAAAAAGTAGAACTCATCATTAAGTATAGTTCAGATAGATGTAAATTACTAATAGTTGATATGAATGATCAAATAGCTATAATTGCAGTAGAAAAGCTATTTCGCATTCTAAGAGCTTACTTCACCATCTCAACACTAATGCTCCTTTCTTGTACCCACAAATGAATAATGCATCTTTTCCCTGCTTTTATTTCAGAAGAATGCTTCCCAAATCAATTTCATCAGCATCTAGAATATTTGTTGATCGACGTTTTCATGGGTTTTACATGGTGGGCGTATTTGTATTAGTCAGTGCGTTTCTGAAAGATATTAATGTTAATTTCACGACCGATGCAAAAAAAGGTTTGTCAACTTTTTCTATGAACTAAACAGTAGACCCTTTTGTATTTTAAGCCATTATTATAAGAAGTTGAAAACTACTTTGAGAGAATAGTATCGATGCGAAGTGGAGTTTTTCAGCAACAGAAACGTATAGTAAAGAAAATCCGATCAAAAAAAGCGTATGAAATATATTCGATGCACTGTAAAAAAGAACTAGGTACTTTTCTGAACCCTCCTAAAAGGTTTTGTAGGTACTCAAAAGCTTCCAAATGCGTCCAAACGCTTAAAAAAAGGGATCCTTAAAATCTACGAAACCTTTAAAGGATCTGACCTCGAATACGTGGATCTAACCATCTCCTACGAAATCTTTTTCGCTTTACCGAACTTAAAAAAAGTTTTGTAGCAGATGGTTTGAACGGTGTACTCTCCCGCAGGTCCTTTTAAGGTTTCATAGATCTTATAATCATTTTATTAAGCCTCTGAACGCATTTGAAAGCTTTTAGACACCTACAAAACCTTTTTGGAGGGTTTAGGATAGTACTTATATATTTTTAGAATGATTGGTTTTTGGTGCATATATAACAACAAAGAAATATGCTTTCTTTTAGATGACTCATACAATAAGCATGTGCTTTTATGCACAATGTGTAGTAAAGTTGTGCAATACGACAGAAAAAAAAACAATAAAAATAAGAGAAAAAAAAGTAACACTAAAGATAAAGCGAAATACAAATATTGTCGATCAGTCACATTCATTGGTACATATGGCTTTTACTGACAGCAAAACCTGTTCTTTCGAATCAGATAATGCATTGAAAGAAGAACAACTGTTCAATGCTATTGAATCAAATAATGTCACTGTCGTGCAGAATTTTACGAAAAATGAACTCCAACGTTTATGTAACGTACGTCGTCTTTTTCCGTCTGAATGGTCCTCACCGGACCACGAGAAACAAACAGCTTATCAACGTGCATGTCTTCTTGGTCATACAGACATTGTACGGTGTATTCTCGATGCTGGTATTCCCCCTGATCAAAAATTCTCCGGTGGTGATTCACGTAATACTATGCGAGGAGCATTTCTATTTGCTTGTCAAGCACGTTCGATGTCAACAATTACAGTTTTACTTAATGCTNTGATCGTGAATGCATCCGTGGTAGGTAAGTATGCTTAATATTTCATCTTCTTTATCACTATATACTTTCATAACAAACATAAATTCCACAGTAGACTATTGAAACGAATAGAAAGAATGAAAAGCAAATATAATGGTTCGTCATCATCGATTCTGTTGTTTTTTCTTATGTTCTTTTACTTTTATCAAAATGTTGTAAGTGTTGTAATCTCTTGCGAAATTCAATATATTCATACTGATAGCAAAAAGATTGCGTAACTCATCGAATTGTTTTAGTTTGAAAATCCTTTTATTTTATGCAATTTACTGACGTAGCTAAACGATGAGTGACACTGGAAACTTCGACAGATATCTATCAGATGATCCATTAAAAGTATGTGACGTAGGTAATGTGAAATTATTCCTGTTGGAAAAATTTTCTTTCTATCGTTTCACACCCAAAGCTAATTCTTAGCAAATGTATACACTGGGACCGATTATATTCTATGTTCAGTTAAATACAGGTTCAAACAGAATCGATCCTGTGACAGAAAAGAAAAATGACAATAAGAAATTGTAACATTTCTTTTAATAGTCGTCTAAAAATTTCTACAATATAAAAATATAAGATAATGAGTTTTATCAACGTTTTACTCGTTGGTCATAAGTAACCTTGTATATTATTAAGGGTGGCTTTTTTTTTAATCGCTCTGTTATCATATGTTAAACGAGCAATTGAAAAAAGAGAAAGAAACAAAACTGATCTTAACAATATAGGAACTTATCTGTGGTCACTTCTTATACGTATTAATGATCAACCAATGAAACGCAAATAAAGCTCATTCAAGTAAAAAATCATTTGTATCTGTATATTGTCATTCTTAGAAAACGATCAATTACTTTTTCTCATTGATAAATATTTCATCAATACCCATCATTAGTCATTGAAAATTGCGAACTTGATCTAATTGAGACGGTGAAAAAAGAAAGTAAACAGATCATGATTTTTTGACTGATTCTACTGTCAGTCAGATAAACATGTTATTGATTTATCACGGTAATTATTGCCAACATCAGCTTATTTCTTTCTTTCTTTTTTGGTGAGGTGAAAAAGAAGTAACATGAAAATGTATCGTTTTAAACAAAAAAAAATCACCAAAACAATAATTTGTATCTCTTCATCCACTCATTATTTCAATCAATACTGTTTCGAATTTATTGCTGTTAACTTTAAATAATTCGATATTTATAATTGTTTACATCATGTTTTCAAATATTGTTGAATTGTTTCAAATTTCAGTGAAGTTACATTTCGAATCTAGTGAAAAATATTTGATTGTCACAGCTGCTATGTAACGATAAATTGAAGGAGTTTCTATTGTCATTCTTGCTAATGATATTTTTTTTATCTACTTTCTGTCATCTCCAGGATTCATCATCTATCGTATATATTAATCACAAGCTTCAATACGAACGAGATGAGCACAGGAAAGAACAATAAAGGGAAAACGAGGAAAGTAGTAAGAGAGTGATATATTAATATCGACACAGTTAAATACTATTTTTCTTATAAATTCAAGCTACTTCGATCAATTTGTATTCCATACAATATTTGAAAGATTTATAATGTATTTAGAACTTTTGAAACTTCGAGATTGGTAACAATCAATGATTGATACTGCGGAAAACAAACGAAGGCAAATCGTTCATCTTATTAATTCAAATTCAAGGCCTTCATTCTTCTGAATAATCGACAAAAATTTCTTATCGAAGCATTTAATATTACAGCATATACAGAGTTTGAATCATAATGGATGATTATGAAGTAAATTTTAGATTATGTATTTTTTTTTATTAAATTAACCTTCGATATATTTGGTAATATTAAATCACAATAATTCTTCAAACATCAATAATAAACAATTAGAATTTTCATTTTATCAATAAAACTAAAAGAGATGAACATTTATTAGGACTTAAAGAATGTGACATTGTTTTCTTTTGTAATTTATAGATATGCTTTTTGATTGTAAATCAACCATAGCTATTTCTAAATTCAATAATTTATCTGATTGAGTATTAATTGCTTATTGTCAAAATTTTGGTAAAATAATTCGATGGTCAATCAAAGCGTATACTCAAACTCAAACTAAGGAGTCATGTAAGTTGTTTATATATATATATCAATCGTAATATCAAAATTATAATCACGTTCTTTTTCAATAAAAGAAAACAATCATTAAGGATTTGTTAGTGTCAACTTGAGATGCTTTTTCATATACTATAGGTTGTAGATGATCTAAATTTTTATTCTTCATTTAGATGCTTTAATCATGTTTGCTAAAATATCAAGTGCTATTTCGATTCTTAGTCATTGTAATCACACTATTGATGGTGTACATGTTTTAATTCTAAAGTATCATCAACATATAAATAAGCTTAGTTCAGTTAAAAAACCATCAAATTTAATGTCATTAACTCAAAAAAATCAAACTTTATCTGATAACAATGGATCAAAATCAGTGGATTTTTATCAAATAATGCAAGAAAATATTGCATTTAAACAGGAAATGGCTAATCTTAATCAACTATTATTTAGTTGATTTACAAACATGTAGTAAGATAAATTATGACGAACATCAAGTTTTACGAAACAAATTTGGTAATTTACATTTTTTTTGTATTTTCTGAATAATTATTTCGAGTTATCCTTCTTGTTTATAGAAGCCGAACAAGTTCTTACAAATAAACTCAAATTAGAAAATTCAGTTTTAGTTGAATCATATGAATCTTTATTACAACAATTATCATCATCTTCTAGAAAAATAATAGAAAAAGATATCATAAAACAAGAATTAATTAATATTGACTGTCAAAGAAATCATTCGGAAAAACATTCATTTGAAATGAAAATAAGAAAAGATCATCTGGAAGAAACACAAATTAATTTAGATTTTTCTTAACAGAAAAAAAGGTTTGAATCGATTTTTTTAATTGAAAATTTTATTCATAGGTAAATATCAAACGGAAAATACTTTACTTAATGATAAATTAATTGAAGATGCAGATCAATTTTTTATCAGTATTAATGAATTAAATAATCAATTTTCATGCATGAAAAACCAATATGAACAGCAACCATCATGTGTTCAAGATTTTCAGGCAAATTTGTATTCAAATATACGATTAAAATTAAAATTAATATATTATAAAATGAATAAATTTGATAGAGAAAATAATAATAAAACAAATGATTTAAATGTGGAAAACATGGAAATAACTATAGAAATAGAACCAAAATTATCAGAGATAGCTTATTCTTAATGAAGAATGAATTAGCAACAACAACAAAGAAAATAAAGAGAAAAAGAATTAAAAAAAAAAAGGGAAACAAAACAGAATTTCCTTATTACAGATAAATAGATATACGTATATATTTATGTAAATGAAATTTTGTATTTCTCAAATTTGTTTTCTTATAATAAAGAGTTCGACAATGAACTCGAAAGTTGAGTTTGTGCCGATAATAAATAATTTGATAGAAATGTTTTTCATAACAATAGATAATAAACATTCAGAACGATTTTATTTTTAACTTATAATGTAACTAATGTTCAGATACTTTAAACAAGTATAACAGACTTTAGTCATTGAGTGTTTTAAATTTTATTGGCTTTTAAATATTCATTTCGTTCTATTTGCCATATACATGATGAATTATAATCAGTAGTAAGTCAACCATTCGATTGATCTGTACTTATTTTAAATCCAATTATTGCAATTTGTAATCAAATCAAGATTGTCACTTTATGAAGTCAAAAAGGCGGAAATCTATATTGTTGTCAAATTTAAGCATTTCTTAGAGTTCCATGGTATGAGTGCAGATGTGAGTGAAGATAATGTTCACGCTCACAACCATTGGCGTTAGTTCCTTGATTGTAATATTAGTACTGTTATTATCGAATTATCATGATTGCTTTCATCTTTAATGATTAACTTCTTATCCAGGGATGTGCAGATCGGGAAGACAGGGAGTTCGGATGTCCCCCCCCCCCCCCTGCCGCTTTTGAAAAGTAGTGACTTTTTAAAGTAAACTTGCCATAGAAGTTTTGTTCCAAAGTCTGGATGTGAAAATTTTCTTTGAGGGGCAGTACAGGGTTTAGTTCTTAGGACTCTCCCCCCTCCACTTTTTTCTTTTCTGCGCATCTCCCTGTCCTTATCCATTGGTTACAAAAAAAATTGAACAAAACTCAAAAGGAATTTTGGAAGACTGAAAGAAGTATTTTTGACATTATTCTGATACCTATCTACCAAAAAACCTGATGGCATTAGACTGAACATGGCTGTGTGGGCATAGGTGTAGGTCTAGGTGTGGGTATGAGTGTGGGTGGATGTGGATACGGGTGTCTATACCTCAGATTCCCATACCCACACCCTATAATTTTCATCTACAGATAATACTCAATTATCTTTGCGGAGTGTGGATGTTATTATTTTCTCCCACACCCACACCCACACCCTAATCAATAAAAAGACACATTATTCACAGCTTGCAGTGATTTTTGAATAATAACTTCCCGTCTGAAAACGTTTTTTGGCATATATGAAAAAACGTAGACAACAGTAAAAAACGTCATCGCGTTACGTAATATGATTTTAAAACACAATCTTCTTGGAACAAAAATACGCGCATCAGATAGCCCATGAAAAACTAGCTTTAGATATATACTTTTTGTAAAAAAAAAGAAGTTGAGTTCAAGAGGTAAAAAAACAATGCTCATTTTTTGTTACGCGATGACGTTATGAATAGGGTAGTTTTACTTAAGCTCGCTGCAAAAAAGTATAGCACATGGGAAACCCACTGTTATGGGAAAATATACATCTATTATCATAGTCTTAATTGGTCTTAATCAACTTTGTATATACTAGACTTTTAAGATATAAGGGTTAGGTGAACTCATCCTCTAAAAAGAGGAACTTTTTTTTGTTCATTAGTGGTCTCTCTGTTACCAATTATCAAATGCAATTTAAAGCACTTATTCAAGGAACGAAATAAGTTTCTCTCCACTTTAGATCATGCTCTACAACATGGTAATAATGATTTCTTAAGACACTGATTTCGAACTCCCGGTCATTGAGGTGACGCGTTACGCGTACAAGCTGATATGTATATCTAATCACAAATAAGAACACTAAGGAACACAACTCTGACCAAGTCAATTAATCGCATATCATGCACAGCTCGAAATTAATGCGTAAAGGTTCAATTGAAAGGACACAGCTCGTAATCTACCGTTCGCTTGTGTCAAGAAGCTCATTTTAATACGACAAAATATCTATAGATATATAGTATATATCTTTTGAGGGTTGGGTTGAGTTGAGTCAAGAAATTAATTTTAATACGAAGAGTGTATAGGAATATATTATGTCCTTTGCGAGGTTTGGTTGGGTTTCCTCAGAAAATTCAATTTTAGATAGAAAGCATATAGAAAAGACGAGTATATCTTTTAGCTTCGACTACTTTGGGTCTACAAATTTACTTTATTCTAATAACGACTCAAAATTTAAGCTTATATCTTTGAGATTGATCTGATGGAATATTCTATGAATATTCTCTGAAACTCAGTCAAGTAACAACGAAGAAGACGTAGAAGAGAGAGCAGTTATAGAGTGATCGAAGGTACAAAAGAAAAAAAAGATATTGACTGAATAGGTGGTAACGCACAAAGCAATTCATATAGTGTATGGGTGCCGCGAAATGATTGAACGCATCCTACAATACAAATACACTACATCGGTCTTATCGAATGCGTCATATGACCGCTATCTTATACCTCTCGTATACCAGCATCTGACTTCCTTGCCGAGGGAAAACTCAGAGAAAACTTTATCATATTTCCTCGAATCTTAAGAGTTGGGGTACTGCTCAATATCCATAATCGAGTGCCGTTGACACAAAACTGGACCCGCATCGATACTAATTTTTTCATGAGCACCCGCAGATGAAATCCATCGTTTTCTTCATTTGTCTTAGGAGGAGGTAGTGAAGATTTTATTTTAAACATAGTTTAGAAGTGAAACAGATAGTAAAACAATGAATTTGGCGCGCTAAGCATTGCTTATACAATAGAAGTCACTGTATAACGAATTTCTACATATCAAGCACTAAGAATACGCATTTGCTGACCCAACCCAACCACAAAAATATACACTTCATTCCCATGTATTTTTTGTGTTAAAATTTGTTTTTTATGCCTATTTATCGCAGTGCTGATTTACGTTTCCTTGAAATTTTTGTCATTGTTTTTTTTTATTTGAATTTCCTGGAAATCGGAACTCACGTCGTCATGAAAAATATAAAACTGTGTATTAGTTTTTCTCAATAGAACTGCAACTAGTCACTAGTTCTTTTGAAAAAATGAGCATTCGTCACCAATTCTTTTCAAAAATCGGGATATTTGAGAAGAGCAGGACCCAGTCACCAGTTTTTTTTTAATAAAATTGGTCTTGTCATCAGTTCTTATTTAAAAAACTGCTCTGCATACCCAACTCTTGGAAAAGAGCCAGTTCTCAGAACTGTAAGGTCTCATATGTCTCATTGCATTCTATCTTCACTTACAGTTGGATTTATATCGAAAATAATTTAATCGTAGCTTACATTTGAAACAAATAGAAATAAAGTTTAAATAATTTGTATTAAAAACTTAATACTAACTGTCATGATTTATGGTCATTTCAAATATATATTGTGATAGCTTATGTTTAAAATACCGCTAAATAATGATGAATTATATTTATTTTGAGTAAAAATTTCAGAAAAAAAATACACGTACATCCATATGAAATTTAAAATATTGAGAATTTAACTTATGCATAACTGCAAATGGAAGTAATAATAAGTCGGCAGCCCGAACATCATAAAAAGAGCTTTGTATTCAGAAAAAAGTAGAACTCATTATTAAGCATAGTTTAAGTAGATGTAAGTTGCTAATAGTTGATATGAATAATAAAATAGCTATAATAGTAGTAGAAAAGCTATTTCGCATTCTCAGAGATTACCTCACCATCTCAACACTAATGTTGCTTTCTTGTGCCCAAAAATGAATAATGCATCTTTTCTCTGCTTTTATTTCAGAAGAATGTTTCCCAAATCAATTTCATCAGCATCTGGAATATGTGTTGATCGACGTTTTCATGGGTTTTACATGGTGGCCGTACTTGTATTAGTCTGTGCGTTTCTGAAAGATATCAATGCCAATCTCACGATCTATGCAAAAAAAGATTTGTCAACTTTTTCTGTGAACTAAACAGTAGACCCTTTTGTATTCTAAACCATTATTCTAAAAAGTTGAAAACTACTGTGAGAGGATAATATCGATGCGAAGTGGAGTTTTTCAGTAACAGAAACGTATAGTAAAGAAAATTCGATAAAAAAAGCGCATGAAATATATTCGATGTACTGTAAAAAAATAGGTAGTTTCCTGAACTCTTCAAAAAGGTTTCGTAGTTTTTAATAATCGTTTTATTAAGCCTTTGAACGCATTTGGAAGCTTTTAGACACCTACGAAACCTTTTTGAAGGGTTCAGGATGGTACTTATTTTTTTTAGCGCGATTGGTGTTTGGTGCATGTATAACAACAAAGAAGAAATATACTGTTTTTTCATTATTTCAGTTTTTTTACTCATTCTGCAGATGTATCACGTCAGCAAAGATGACTCATACAATAAGCATGTGCTTGTATGCATAACATGTAGTAAAGTTGTGCAATAGGACAGAAAAAAAAGCAACAAAAATAAGAGAAAAAAAAAGTAACGCTAAAGATAAAGCAAAATAGAAATATTTTCGTAAGAAATAAAATCGTAATATTGTCGATCAGTCACATTCATTGGCACACATGACTTTTACTGACAGTAAAACTTGTTCTTTCGAATCAGATGATGCGTTGAAAGAAGAACAACTGTTCAATGCTATTGAATCAAATAATGTCACTGTCGTGCAGAGTTTTACGAAAAATGAACTGCAACGTTTATGTAACGTACGTCGCCTCTTTCCGTCTGAATGGTCCTCACCGGACCACGAAAAACAAACAGCTTATCAACGTGCATGTCTTCTTGGTCATACAGACATTGTGCAGTGTATTCTCAATGCTGGTATTCCACCTGATCAAAAATTCTCCGGTGGTGACTCACGTAATACTATGCGAGGAGCATTTCTATTTGCTTGTCAAGCACGTTCGATGTCAACAATTACAGTTTTACTTAATGCTGGTGCACCAGTTGATGAACTAGGTTCATGTTCTCTTAATTATGCTGATTCTTTTGTTCCTGGTATTCGTGTATTTAGTTCATTTGGACGTGACTCAGTCTCTTGGNAGCTTGTCTTTTTAATCGAGCTATAACAATGATCGATCTATAACAATGATCGATCTATTACTCTCCTACGAAAATGCTAATCTTGCAACAATAGCTAAAACAAGCAATGGCAAATTTCCTGATGAGCTTGCTACTGATCAAACAATAATCGATTATCTTCGACCTACACGTCTGCGCGCTTATATGGAAATAGAAGAAAACAGTCAGAAAAGTCAACAACATGACTTAAAGAAACTTGAGGAAGGTACAGCATTCCAAGTTTTCATCAAAACTCTTACGAGTAAAACGATTATAATTATTGTCAAAAGAGAAGATACTGTCGAAAATATCACAGCAAAAATTCATGAAAAGACAGATATTCCACCTAATCAACAACGAATTATCTACGGGGGCAAACAATTACGAGATGATCTCACACTTGCCGACTATGATATTGGAAAGGACGCTACTCTCCATCTAGTCATTAATCTGCCTGGTGGCTACTATTAGTATAACGGCGTCTTTTGTTTTTAGAAACTTATGTAGAATCAATCAAATATTGGTTTGCTACAAGAAAAGTAAACAATACATTTTTTTTTCATAACTTATTTTATAATCAAGATGTTTAGTTTATGAAATTTGACGTAAGCGGTTAAGAATTCCAAAAAGATTTTTTTTCTGAGAAAAGTTTTTTTATTCTTGCAGTGATAGTTTTCATTCGAGATGTATGTCATCTAGTCTGCTCTATAGCCCGTATAACGTATAATCACTCAAAAAATTATACTACAGCTGTATAACATTGATCTTCTTAATAAATAAATCAAGACACTTAAAAGTAACTACAATAATTGTCTTTTCTAGATTAATTGTTCAAAGCGATGAATAAAAAGTAATGCAAATCGAAGATCTACCTGATGAACTATTTATGTACATTTTCTCGTTTATTCGACCCAAAGATCTTCTTCAAGGATGGTATAACTTAAATTATCATATCAATTCAATTTTACGTTCAATACCTATAAGTATTGAAATCAAGAAAAATGATGATTTCAACGAATGTCTTAATTCTTTCCAGCATTTTTATTCTCAAATAGTCTATCTCAAGGATGAGTGCTACTTTCCAAAACCTGAAATCGATGTATGTCAACTAATTAATATTCGATCTCTCTATTTGAACCAATGTTCAAATGAATAATACAAACATATTCATCCTAACAATCAACCTAATTTGACTCGTTTTTTCTCTTTGTTAGTGCCTTGGTCATTCTATGAACAGATTCTTTTTGGGCAAACACGTTTTTCTCATTTGACATCCATTGGATATGTGAGAGGTGCTTCAATTTTATTACTGAAATCATCATATTCTATAAATACAACTATTCGTCATCTTCATTTACATTCGGCAACATATGAAATTATCTCTAAATTTCTTCAATATCTTCCCTATATTATTTCATTAACCATCGATTATTTATATACAAACAGTTCATCATCTATAATACCGATCACAAATTCTTATATTCGCCATCTGACTTTGACACATAGTTTATCATCTCAATCACATTTCGAGGAGCTTCTCGTATTTCTTTGTAATTCCAATTTAACAGAAGTTCGCGTGACATTTGATACTTGTGACTTTGACAAGCTAGCTCATATTCTTACAAAACTTTCATATATGGAAAAATTCAATTTGAAAGTGAAGACATATCCATCAGATCTCGATTTGACCATAATTCGTCTGACGAGTCCTTGGTTTCTAACGCTAAATTATGCGTATGTCATCGAACAATATGAGCTGAAACGGATTCTTCTCATTAAAACCACTAGACAACAATTAGACTATCAAGCAATACTAATTAAATCATTGAACATGTAATCAACTACCAAAGAAAAATGAGAAACATTCTTTCTTTCATAATTAATATACATCAAGAAGAGTTCTGAATATTGAACTTTTGTCTTCACTATACCTAAATACTTCTATGTACTCGTGTTGTACAGAGGGTGTGCTATGTGGGTATGGATGTGTAGTGTTAGTGTGGGTGGCTTAAGATCATGCTTTCACCATCACCCACCACACACCCACACCCACATCCTAGGCATGTCTCTATCGTATATTTTATGTTCACCTGAAATAAATTCACATGGTACGTGTATTGTGTTCTGTTCTTTTTTTTTTTCTCTTTTCATCATTATTCGCTACGCTTATAGGAGCATGTCTAAACTGAAAGGGTAGAAGAATGTGACGATAATGATATCATCTTATTCCTCTCTTCTTAATTTTTTTAATTTTTCTTTATTGATCAGTCCTGCATTCATATATATATATTCTGTATTGTATGTGAAATATTTACATTCTAAAGATATGAAGTAATTAATAATCATCATTGGCAATGGTAGAAGTAAAGCTGCTTTTCTATTCTATCCTATACAAATGAAAAAAGTATTTTTGTCTGCAATCTCCTTATTCTACTTTAATTAGAAGAAAACAAATAGAAGAAAAAAAGACAGGTATAGTAATATTATTTCTTCAATTTGTTATTTTTCTCTTATAAGACAATCTATACAAGAGGATAAGGAAATAAAAAGGAAATGTCGACAAAAGTACGTTGTCTCATTCAGTTTTAATTTTACCCTTAAAAGGTTCGATAAACAATTAACATTACAAAATATCAGCCGGAATCAAGGATATGACCAATTCTTATAATTCAAATTCGCGTTCACAAATGCGTGCAATTGAACTTTCCATATCCTTCATTCAATGAACGATTAAACTTCTCGATCTTGCTTTTTTACCATCGATACAAACAGTAATTATTGCTGATTTTGGTTCATCACATGGTTTAAATTCAATGAATGCTATGAAAGTAATTATTGAAAATTTAAAAACATTTAAAAATAAACAGCGATCAGTTCTTGTCATTCATAACGATTTACCAACGAATAATTGGACAATACTTTTCGCTCTACTCAATAAAGACAATAGTTACTTTGGTTTAGCAAATGGCCAATCATTTTATGAACAATGTCTTCCATCAAATTCTCTATCTATCGGCTACTCTTCTGCGTCACTGCAATGAATGTCACATAATCCATGTAATATATCGAATCATTGTCTCATTATTTTGTGTCAAATGATGAATATGATATGCTTAAACAACAAGCTTATCTTGATTATTCAAGATTCTTGGAATATTGTTCAAATGAACTTATTTCTGGTCGTGTACTTATTCTTTATTTTCCTTGTTTAAATGATAAAGGATTGTTTGGTTTTGAAATTCTTGTTCAAGTTTTATACAAATGTGCAACTTTATTACCGATTAAAGAATAAGAATTACTCGATTATAATTATCCATTGGATTACCGTACGTATGAAGAATATATTAATTATGATTTATTTAAAAATTTTTCATCGAAACTAATGAAGATTGAATTGTGTGATACTAGAAAAGATACATTTACTCAGTTTCAACAATGATAATTAACATTGGATGAATTTGTAAAAGACCACATTCAATTTTTACGTAGTTGGGCTGAACCATCATTATGAGAAACATTACTAGATAAATTTTGGAATTTGTACAAACGAGAAGTAAAAGAACTTTCAAATCAATTCGAATTGTGTTGCTTTTATGCCTATTTAATATTGAAAAAAGATTTTATATAATTACTAATTTTTTAATATCAAGAAAAAAAAACTTAGGGAGTATAGCCAAATATTACAGAATTTTATTTTTCTTTTACATTTTCACACATATATCTCTTCAACGACTTTTTTCTTATGAAAGTTGAGCATTTTACTACGACTCGAAGTGACGTATAAATAACTATCTTACGTACACTACAAGCTATAATAATATCACGCTGTGTACTAACAACTATCATTGCATAGAATAAAAAAAAAATACTAAAAACACTGTTCGTTACGAAATTTCAGCTTTTTCACGTTTCAAAGTCGAAGGTTTGAGAATCTGAACTCTTTTTAACTATCGTGATAAAAATATACCTTTTCGCTAAATTATGANAAAATTGATATTTAATGCTGAAATTAATGAATATAATATTCTTTATTTAGTTTGTCCATACAGGTATATTCCAGAAGATTCTTTTATATTTATATAGATTGTTTGTTTTTGTTTTCAGAAAAAGATAATATGAATATAAAAATTCTACTGTTGAATATTTAGAATCTACTCAATTGACTATCAAATACGTTTTTTCTGGTGAACCTGCTAACGATTTATTCAACTATATTAAACGTATTTTAAATATAGTACAAATTTATCATTTGTATATTCAACAAGAAATTTCTATTGATAGATTAATGCAAATTATACATTTATTACCAGATCTTATCACATTAAAAATTAATTCTTTAATTTTAACAATTTATCGATCATTAATAGATGAAAAATTTCCTACCACGTGTTCAATAGAACATGCAAGTAAAATTTAAAAAGTGTATTTAGAAAACACGCAAACAATTCAAGAAATTTATTTTCTTCTTAATGTTTGTCCACATATGGAATTTCTTAATGTCGAATGTATTAATGGTATGACTATTGAATTATTTCTACGAGATATTTTAAACAAAATTAATCTAGATCATCATAAAGAACTTCGTTTATTATGTATTTATGTTTCAAAAGCAGATGATAATATGATTAAAACTTTTAAAAAAATGATTGATAAAGAAAAACTTTTGTTAAATTACACAATTCATCATGAACTTAATAATATCTATTTACAATGGAAATGATATTTATTTCGTTGACATTTACTTTTTTTATATAATATCTTTTCGTTCTTATTATTAATAATATGCACAAAATGCTCAGGAAAAGATTTTAATGCTGAACCAAATAAACTATTTCATATATACGAAAAAAAAAAGAATAACGGACAATAATTTAGTGGATACTTTCTGTATAGAAGAGGTCGTCCACAAAGGAGGTTCAGACAAAAATCGCGTTTTTGGACGCCTCCCTTTCTAATGTTCAGAAATGTCCACTTTTGCTGAAAAGGACTGCTTTTTCAACCAGAAAACTGAGATATTTTACGTATTTGTAGTTTACATCATAGGTCTCTGATAGATTGCTCTTTTGAAAATACTTCTCAATACTTCCAAAAGTTATTTGGATCCAAAATTGCGATTCTGGTTCGGTTTCCAAAAAATATGGTGTGAATCAGAACCATTACATTCATTAAAGACATGCGAAAGTTTTTACATCTTTGTTCAATGATTTTGACCTTTCACTTTTGAAATTCAAGTCACCATACATTTTTTTATTCACATAAGATACTATTATATAAATCTACTGAAATCTTTAAACTCAGATCGGAAAGAATTGACATTTTTGAACGTAGATTCGAAATTTTTTTTGCATCTGTTTGTTGATTTAAAGGTTTCGGTTTCAAGAAATTTTAAAAAGGCTGTTCTTTATTGGTTTCGTTTATGCTTTTTTTAACCGCCGACCTAAACTAGAAAAAAATTTCTTTTCTTGAAAATTTTACGAAAAATACTTAAAAAATGACAAGAAGATTTTAGCCAATTAGTGGAGAATGACTGTTTTTTGAAATGATGGAAATTCTATTATCTAATTTCTTTTACTGTTTCCAAAAAAATAAAACGGTTACTTGTTCATTAAGACGTTATTGCGAGATGGAAACATGATTTATGTGTGACTGATACACAAAAATATGAGAAAGAGAATAATAACATCTCATTTGATACAATAGATACTATGTTTACGTGGTCGACAATCCTCACTCTCAAGATGAAAAGTAGTTTTTGTTGTTTTCTTTTTTTGGTTTACGTAGCAGTCGTATGAATAAATAACTCTTTTTTTGTATATATAATTATCATATTATATTTGTTGATATTTTCAGAATTCAAAAATAGTAGTCGTTTTTTGGCAACACAATACAATTTTAATCATTCCAAAAAGCGATTATTTTTCACGAATAGACTTAATTTTTGCCTACAATGAATACGTAGCTGACGTGATCACTCTTGACTTGTTGACTACATCCATATCCGATCATTTTATTTCGTGAAACAAAGAATAACCAATGCATTTGTTTACGTATTAAATATATTTCAATCAGACTATTGCCTGAGGAAAATATCTCAGTTTCTATGACTATCTTCCTTTTTAGATCTTCATTCATTTACACATCTTTCATTTTCATCAATTGTCAAGAGAAAAATAAGCAGTTGTTTAGAAGAGTTTTCACCATTGATTTGATATTTGAGAAGTCGATGAGTTTGTCGTTGATAAATTCTTCATTTGACAATTGACAGCATCCACAACAAATAAAACTTTTATTTGACCGCGAAACAAGCTGATTTTCCTATTTAATTCGATTGAAAGAAAAAATTCCGTTTATGATCTCGTCCAAGAAAACTAGTTAAAATAAATAATTATCTACAATTTTTTTTCTTGATTACAACTCGATTATCTGAGAATAATATCATTAATGAAAGTGAATAAGTACTTTTTGTTCTATTCCAATTGATTTTTTTTCAGTTAACAGATTTGATTTTGACGACAAAATCAATTATCAATAGTTAGATTATTTCGATAAGTTTTTCGCAAAAATTAACATATTCTATGTAAAGGACATCAACAAAAATGAGAAGAATTTTCTTAAGAAACAATGAACATCATTTGAAAAAGACAAGTTCAGTATGATCAGAAAAATGAAGTTTAATTATCAGATCAATGGTAGCAATGAAAGAATTTCTCTCACTATTCATCACATCTGGCATTGATCGACTGATTAACAAACGATATTCAATTGAAATGATGAAATAACTTGTCATTATTCGGTCATTAAAATCGAATGGACTTCTCTCTATTTGAGACGAGTCTTTATCTGTCACTCCTAAATAAGCTGAATATTTTGCTGAAGAAAATCATCTAGTGTAGAGGAATTTCGAGATCTTCTTATTTGAAGTGTAAGAGAAAAGAAGTTCGTCTAATATTTGTTCATGATTGACTTAAATCTTTTGAAATGCGATTGTCTATTATAAAAAAAACTCTTTCAATTGAAATAAATACTTCGTTGGTAGGAGACATTCTTTTTTTAAAGTGATTATCTTTGAAATGAATGAACAGTTCAATGAGATAAAAAAAGACAAATTAAACATCGTAATGATCATATTGAAGAAAAGAATTTTTCTTCTTCTATGAACAATCAGCTCTTCTCATTCAATCATTCCATGAAGATACTCACTCGGAACATTTTCGAAAAAAACTCTTTCCCATCATCAATAACATGTGTTTGAATGAATAAACAAAAGATATAATGAAATTTGCTAGTCTTAAATCATGAAATATGAATTGGAAGAAATCTTCAAATTTCATTTGCTTTTCTTCAACTTTAATTGATCATTTACTTGGATTTTTTTCAAATATCTGACATTAATTTGAACAAATCAGAAACTCTTTCAATGAAAAACTATTCATAATTATCAATTATCTTTGTAAAGTTCGACTGATCAGATAGATAGGATCTAAACAAGAAAACAAACATCTTAGTATATTGATTCAAAGCGAGATCGTTGGAGAAATTTTCTTTAAATATGAGAGAAACATTTCGATGATTTTTGGTAAAGATTAAAAGGCAAGGTCAATATGTGAAAGATTCTCAAATAAAGAATATTTACCAATGGACAGAATAAAGGACTATCATATCCAACTATTTTTAGAAGATCTCATTGAAAAAAAAGTAAATCGGGTAATCCAGTTAAAATTGTTCAAATGAATAGATTCATATGATTAGGTTGCCCAGTCTTCTCTTCAGCATAAGAATTCTGATCAAAAGTAGATCAATACCTTTAATCAACTTTTATTCTAGACAATTTTCAACAGAAAGCTTTTTTCTTAAATATTTCTTTAGATTTTAAAAGATTTTCTTGTGTCTCACAAATTTTCATTATTCATTGCCTTTTGCAAATGATAAAATCAATCGACAAAAAAAAGAAAAGTTTTCTTCTCTCATTTTGATGATAAAACAACAATTTTTCTCAAAATTGCTTTAACATATTAGAAAATATTTTGTGTCATTCTTCAGGCAAGAAGATTTTTATCGAAGTTTTATTCGATCGCTGATCAACTGTAGAAATCTACTAGGATAAATGATCATCTTCGAAAAGATCTAAACCAAAAGAACTATGATGAAGCAAGAGAAATGTTTGTATTTATGCTAACATTTTCATTCCATATTTTTCATCCTTACCTAGATCATCTATCTGATGTTTGTCTGTTGCCTTCATCCGCACTTATCTGATATGCCATATACGTAAGTAAAGTTAGCATCAGATTCGAGTACTTCGACCAAATATTCGCTGAGTGAGTTATGTCAACTTTAAAAAGCAGTGTGTCATACTCCAATCGACGAGCTCTATCGAATGATATGACTTTTTCATAGATCTTAGTAGTATTACAACTGATAACCACTCTTGAGATCAAGTAAAAGTCCACGAGATTATTCTGGATCGTAAAGAACAGTAATCCTGCGAAACTCTGCTCATATCTACGCAAAAGCCATCCCATTCTGTGCAGCTCTTCCTTTTGAGTATGACACACTGCTTTTTAGAGTTGATACAACTCACTCAGCAAATATTTAGTCGATTTACTTGAATTATTAACTAGTGGAAAGTGAGGATAAAAACGTGTAGTTTTAAGTTTTCATGGGAATGTTAGGTTCTGAATAGTACTCAATCGGTAGCATTTTTAACTCTTTACTTGACACAAACAATATCTTTTCTGACACAAGCCATTGGACGAATATTTGGTTGAAGTACTCGAATTTGATGCTAACTTTATTTGCAGATAAATTTCTCTTTCTTACTTCATCGAAAGAAGAAATAGTGCAAAATTCAAATAGATTTGGAAAAAAATAAAAGAATTTGATTTGGAGAAAGATCTTGTATGAGAAAAGAACAATACTTCACATGAAATCACTCAAATCTAGTCTTTATTCAATGATATTCAATAAACAAAAGATCAGTTTCTTATGTTTATGTCTTAATTCAATCTTTACTAGGGACGCATTTATTTTAATTCTTTGTCAAACATCGAAAGATTTTCAAATAAAAACAATTAAAATGACTCTTGTACTTGATCAATGCATTAAACAATGGTTATTGAAAATAAAACAAATCTTCAAAAGTTTATTCATTTGACTCCACACGAACAAGTGTTTTTTTCTTATTGATTGTTGGAGAAATATTTGCATGATTATCCAATGCTCGTTCATTCTCAAATTAGGCTGCCATCTCATAGGGCTCCGAATGTGGTACACAATTTTTCTAAATAGGGTACATAAAAAGGGGCACTTCACTTATTTTCCAAAATTCAAAAGAGTGCTGTGAAAAACAAAGTTGAGAAAAGTGTAGTGTCCAGTGGAAAGATTTAGACTGGAGTTTCCTCGTGAAAAAATAGTGATCTGAAATGTTCTATTTTGGCAAAGAACGAGCCTAGCAATAAGGTAGTTTGTGAAAAGCCACTTCAATAAACCAAATGAAAATTTTCAATTATAAAGAGCGTTAGCTGTGAAGATTAAGTGATGCGAAGTCTTTTCACATCAAAGATGGTCGAGACTGAAAAAGTGAAAGATTTTTTGTATCAGAGCTGGTGTATAAATTTCTAGTGATTTAAAAAGGTTTACGAAAATTTGGTCACTTTTGATGAACTTTCATGCAAAAAGGTGGAATTCAGAAAAAATTTATCAATTCTTCAAGATTCAGAC